TGTCCAACAAATAGCATCATATCAAATTAAAAAGCTTTTGCACAGCAAAGGAAACAAGAAAGTGAAAAGACAACTCATAGAGTGGGAAAATTTTTGCAGCTACTCTTTTGGCAGAGGACTGATATCTAGAATATATAAAGAACTCAAAACAGCTAGGCCTCCCAAAATAAAATACCCAATCAAAAAATGGGCAATTGAAATTAAAAAAGAAAAACACTTCCCAAAAGAAGTACCAACAGCTAGTAAATACTTGAAAAAATATTCAGTATCTTTGACCATTAGTGAAATACAAATTCAAGCAACAAAAAGATACTTGCTCCAGTAAGAATGAGCATCATGAAGAACTCAAACTCAAAATGCTGGCAAGGATGCAGGGGGAAAAGAACCCTTCTGCACTGTTGGTGGGATGTACAAGCACTAGGGAAATCAGTATAGAGATCACTCAAAAAACTAAGAATAGGAATTCCACTTAACCTAGCTATACCTCTCCTGGGTATGTTCTCAAGAGTCAAAGTCACTGGTGATACAGACATGCAAACCCAGGTTTACAGCAGCATCACTCATAATAGCTAAGTGAGGGAAGCATCTCACAGATCCACCAACAGATAAATGAATAAAGAAAATGTGTTATTGGGGCTGGGCATTTAGCTCAGCAGCACAGCGCCTGCCTGGCAAGTGCAAGGTCGTGAGTTCAATTCCCGGTACTGGAAAAAAAACAAAAACCAAAAACCAAAACCCAAAAAAAGAAAATGTGTTATATACATACAATGGAGTATCACTCAGCCTTAAAAAGGATAAATTTGAGTCATTTTGTAGATGAGTGAATGTATCTTGAGACTACAATGTTAAGCAAAATTAACCAAGCATAGTTATATCAATGATTTATCTTACATGAAGATCAAAATTTAAATAAAGAGGAAAGTAAGGAGATACGGTAGGAAACAGAGAAGTAGACTTTTCAGACATGGAAGAAGGATCTTGGGAAAGGGAAGAGAGAGGGGCTGGGGATTTAGCTCAGCGGCAAATTGCCTGCCTGGCAAGCGCAAGGTCGTGAGTTTGATTCCCGGTACCGGAAGGAAAAAAGAAAAAGAAAAAAAAGAAAAGGGAAGAGAGGAGGGAATGGAGGAAAAAGGGAATCAAAATTGATCAAGATGTATCAAAAACATATACTAATAAACAATAAAGTAAAATGTCAATACCAAAGGAAACCATTCAAATATCAAGGAATATAATTTGCAATTACAGAATATATCATGTCAACAAGATCAAATGATCATTCAAAAAGGCTCAGAAAGACTTACATAAAATTTAGCACCCACTTATTTTTTAAAATTCTTGGTAATATAAGGATAAAAAGGGAAGTGATTTAACAATGTTTAGAGATTCTGATAGTTCTGCCACTGACAGGTGGGAGGTCTGTGTCCCTCTGCTTGAATTTAGGTCAGCTTGTGACTAATTCAATCAGTTAAGTATGACAAAAATAACCTGATGTGATTTTCAAGAGTAGATCAAATAGCCCATCAGCATCCATCTAGTTTTGTCGAACTGCTTACTCTAAGAGAAGTCGATTATCACAAAAGAAATGCCACCACTCCAAGACCACCTTATTAGAGAAAGAATATTTAGGAACTCAGATCCATAGATTGATGAGCTCTCCTCCAAAAGCTGGTATGAGGGCAGGGAGTATGGCTCAGTGGTAGAATGATTATCTAGTGTGCAGGAGGCCCTGGGTTCAATCCTCAACACTGGGGGTAGGGTAATTGTTAGTCATATGCGTGAGATTTTTTGTTTAGTCTTGTTTTATTTTGTTTGCAGTACTGGGGACTGAACCCAGGGCCTCATACATGGTAGACAAGTATGCTACTACTGTTCTATCCCCAGCCCAAGTGAGCGATCTTGATTGTCCAGCCATTTGAGCTTTTTAATGCCTATGGTCCCAGCTCATATCTGATCACAAGTGATTAACATAATTCAAGTAATAACTGTCGTGTCGGGCCCTTTCCAAATTCCTGGCCCACAAAGCCAAAACAAAATTAAATGAATAATGATTTGGGAGCCAGCATACTGTTCTCTCTTATTCTGTATGTTTAAAAATTTCATAGTTAGAGGTTTAAAAAGTAGAGTATCAAAAACAAAATAACAACTGAAAAAGTTTTCAAGTCATCACTAAGATATAGAACACTGTATGAACAAGTGGACAATATCCTCATGACATCTTGGCAGGGAACTCACAAGCAGAGCTTATAAAAGTGCTGTTCAGGAATTTCCTAAGGGACTCACTAAGCCTCCTATATTTTAATCCTTTCCAACCCATCCTAATTTTGTTATCTTTGGATACAAAATTAAATCTAAATTATTTTAAATTTATTTGGCTTTGAAATAATTATAAAAATATCATCTATGTGTGGATCCCAAAACTTGCCATGTTTCCAGCAGTCTAATATTGATCAACTTTGCTTTGCTCTTCTCCGAGTTTGGACGTACCTGGTTGCCGTGTTTCCCATCGCACTGTAAAGCCTCTACCACTTCTCAAATGGTCAGAATAGAGATGAAAATAGAGCGCACTGTCACTGCTGTGAAGATCCTGAGGGGCAGTAGAGCCACAGAATCTTCCGAGTGGAAAATCTGCAGAGGAGTCTCCATCGTGAATCTGAAGAAACTCGTGTGGGCAATTATTCTCCAGTTCTAATTGGAAGAAAGTGAATGTGATATGCAGGACCTAAAAATATAAAAACCACAATATATTGTTTTCACTTCCGTGTTAATTGTAAAGTATTCCTCTTACTAACTAGAAAGCATTTACATAGAAAGATATATCTACTATATATCTTAATCATTCACTAACACAAACAGCAATTATCCATAGTACATAAGACTTATGTTAGCAATTGTTAAGACCAAAAGCCTGATGGTGCATGTCTCTAATCCCAGCACTGTGGGAGGCTGAAGCAGGCAGATCAAAAGTTGGAGCTGGGCAATTTATAGAGGCACTGTCTCAAAATAAGTGATAGAGTATCCCAGGTGAAATCCCCAGCCCCATTAAAATAATTGTTAAAACCAAACTTCAACTAACATTAAAATATGTTTAAAATTCTTTGATGAGCCGGAACTGTTAATTACCTTGATTTGAGCATTACATATTATATACATGTATCAAATTATCATACTGTACCCCATACATATATACAAACATTATACATCAAAAAATTCATGGCGAATTAGCTAGGTTTCATGACACTATCAGATTTTTCAAAGTCACTTCAAATACGTAGCTGACACTGTATCTAAGTCAGTAATAGAAATTGGTCATTTGAAAAATCTCCCTTGAGTTAAGCTAAACTGGCTAATACTGCTATTCACGACTGTGTATCATGTGCAATTATGATTGCTCCTCAGGAAGGCCAATCCCAGGGTCGCTCAGACGCATGATCCAGACTGGCACACTCAAGTGTAGGCAGAGTAGGCCTGGTGTAGACAGGTGGACAGTCTGCATATCTTTGTGGGCTGGATATTACTGTATGCGAACCATATCAAGAGACTAGGACAAGGTAATACTGGTATGAAAAGTACTGAGAACGCAAGTATAAAAGAATAAAGATGAAAATGCATATCCAAGGTAAACTGTCAAGATGTACAGCTTTTAAATTCAGTAATAAAATAAAATTTAAAAGATTTTGTATTGATAACTTCATTTTAAATAAACAACCAAAAAATTATTCATTTTACTTTTTATTAGAAACTAAAATCATAACAGTAGTTGCCTAATGAAAAGGAATTATAGAATATTGTTGAAATTCAATGCTAGGGTATTTTTAAGATCTGTTTCCATCATTACACCATTTTCTCTCTTGAAGCAATTTAAATAAAACTCAAACAATGTTAATTAATTGAACTATCCTGACTTGGATATATTTCCCACCATATTATATGCATTGTAGTCGGGAAAAGAAGATATAATCAAGAAAATGGGATGAATTTCCTAATAAATTGGTAATAAACATTTTTAGAGTTTTTCACATAAGAATTTTTTTCTTGAAAAAAAGTATTTTCAATGTCAGGAAATGGAATTCATGAAAACTAAATGGAAGGAAGGAAGGAAAGTCACCTAACATATCCACTGGGAAATTCTTTTGGAATTTATTGTGGGTTACCAGGCCCCAAAATGCCCTCCCTTCTCAAGGGAAAATCATGTTTTCTGACCTTTGCACAATGTCTGCTATAATAATAGGTTGCTGGGAAAACTTAATAGGATTTCAAGAGAAAATCTGATGGACACAAATACTTTTTTGTTTTGTTTTTCAAGAGAAAATCTTATCTCTTCAGACAGACCACTGCACTTTAGAGCCCAGGAGTTGGTTGAAAAAGAAATACTCAGAAAATTTAAGTAATTAAAGTCCTTAGGCTCAGATTAAATTTTAAGAGCATTTATGTAGCAGTTTAGAGTTACAGGCTTTGGAGTCAAATGGCCTAGGGTTGAGCCCAGCCACCTGTACCGGGGCAAATTTTTTAACTGCTCAAGGCTCAGTTTCCTCATATGTAAAATGAGAATAACAATTAATCTTTACAGTCATGAAAGTTAAAAATGCAGTGATGTACAGCAAGCATGGAACATAGTACCTGGCATACAGAGGACAAGTGATAAGAAAGCCAGCCTAATATCAGTCACCACTGTTGTATAATAATTGACATAATATGAAGATGACTGACCATCTTGAAGCAATACTGTCTTGGTAACAACCAGACCTTACAAATCAACCACCGGCTTATAGCTACTCAATCAATGTGTAGGGAATTATTCATTACTGGACCAAGCATGGACTTTGGAATCAAACTTTTCTTTGAAATTTAACTATTCCAATTACATGCTAAGTATTTTTTTAAAAAACTATACATAATTTCTCTTACTTCTCATTATTTTATTTCTAAAATGAAGATATTATTACTTATTTAAAAGACTATGAGGGTAAGAGAGGTAGATAAAATATCTAAAGTGAAGCCTGGCACTTAGTAAGCACTTTAATTATGATAGTTGATTGATCACTAAACATATTTATACAGTATATGTAAATATTGTTGTTTTGTGTTTTTTTTAGGTTTTTTGTTTTTTTTTTTTCTGGTACCAGGAATTGAACTCACGACCTTGCTCTTGTCAGGCAGGTGCTGTGCCTCTGAGCTAAATCCCCAACCCCTATATGTGCATATTTTATACAAGTATACAAGTAAAATATACAAGTAATATGTGTGTCCGGGCAGGAGTTAGTACATTTACCTTTCCCTCTTCGGTTCGGACAACCCAGAAGCAGTTAACGTCCTGAAGATAAACTTGAGAGATTGTATAGCTGATGCTCCCATTCATCCCTGAGAGGGACCCTCCACACACTGCAGAAGAAAAGATGATGAACCGTGCTTTTCAGAGACCCATAAATGGAAGAAGCCAGGCAGATTAAACTCTCCCTGCCATTTCCTCTTGGCTATCCCCTTTCTAGTGACACTGAGCTGGATCCAACCTCCAAGTCTAGTTAATATCGCATCCCTTGACAGCTGTTTTCTTTGGCTTCCATTCTCTACGGTTCTGCGAAACGGAACCCCAAACAGGTTCGTTCTTAGCTTCAGTCCTTGTATCCTACTTGCCACTGTGTGTTAGTCTTGTCTTCTTAACTCAGGGCAAACAGACAATAAATGCAGACCAGGTTGTATGTTTCTGTATCATCCACATGGTTTATCGTGGGTTTATTTCAAACACACAGTAATACTTTAAGAACTGTGTGGATTCAGAATCAGGGATAGTAATGAGGGTGGGATGGTCATAAAAACTTTATGGAGGAGGTTGAACGTTAAGTACTCCTGAGGCACAGATACATGTGGATGGGAAATTAGGAAGGAATTTGGGGAGGGTTGTGGGAAGAAACATCTCAAACAAGAGAGAAGACATACTCATGGTGGTACATAAGATCAGGTGGCAAAAGAAAAATGTCTGGCTTGCATGAGCATTTTTAGAGAACCAGTGAAAAATCGGGTTAGATGGATAGAGTGATGTCTGGGTATAAAAGGTAATTGAAAAACAATTCCAATCTGTGTGCAACAGGCAATAACCAACCAGCATATACTCCAGGGCAAGAGTGATATGATTACATGCGGTATTCCAGGGAAACTGGCCGCTATACAGAAAATGTTCCCTTAGAAAATACCTAAGCGTATCTTAGATTTAGAAAGGACATAATAAAAATAGCAAATACTGATTTAATTCTTTTGAAGAAAAATTATTCTGGCTTAAGTTGAAATTTGTAAATATCTACTTTATGTATTCTGTACCCTTTCAACAGTGAACAGCTATAAAAGAAAGTAAGGTCAGTGGGGCAATCTGCAGAAGGCTTCGGTGAAGGGTGATATTTCCAAGCTGTGAGTATCTGTGGCATAAGAAATGCTGACTGTACCTTGCTGGGGAATCTGACAGTGAGATCCAGTCCAGGAACTTGTGCATTCGCAACTGAAGTCATTAATGCCATCAACACAAGTCCCCCCATTCAAACAAGGGTTGCTCAAACACTCATTGATGTTTTCTGTACAGTTGACACCAGCCCAGCCTGAATCACACTTACAAAAGTAGCCAGAGAGCATATCCTAAGGAGAAAACACAGGTGTAACGTGGTGAGACAAATGAATAGACAATAAATGGAGTCAACCCCATGGAGTACAGCGACTCTAAAGTGTTGAATCATACTAAGTACTTTTTAGTAGTCCAGCTTGTAATTTTTAAATAATTGTTCAGTATAAGAAGTCCTATTTATTTGAAGATAAAATATTAGCTTATTGATTTTTTTCCTTGGGAACTAAAATTACCACGTACCTTTTAATCTTAGAGTTGTGCAGTGTCTTATCCTAAACTTGAATCACTCTCTTAACACTCATGAATCATATGAAATGTATTCTATACAAAGGTGAAAAGGTGAAACTAAACTCTATTCTACAGTATTCAATATCCCCAAGAAAAAGAAAGAACTCACTGTGCATTGTCCATTTAAGCAAGGGTGACTTGAACAAATATTTCCGAGCTGCACACATCCATTTGGACCATAACCATTTCCGGTGTATCCCGGCAGACAGGTACAGACAGGTAAGAAACCTGTTCAGAAAAAAAAAAAAAAAAAGGAAAAGTGAATACAGGTATTCTCCTCAATTCAGAGACAGTAACTACACTCAGACTCTGGTCTGTTCTCTGAATAATAATTTACCAGGTTTCAAGTCTGTTTATTCCTACAGGCACACAAGAAAAGGTACGAGGAGAAAATATTAAAATCTTTATTTTTCCATATTTTAAAGTAAGAAAGCCATTAAGCCTTTCCAATACTTTACCTATAAATTGACACTAGTGCTGTTCTCTCTCATGTCAGGTGGTTCTGAGCTATGTAGAAATGAAAGATACACCAAGGGAAGGAGGATGAGGTGTGTCGTCATGGAGGGGTTATCAGCAGATGAGAGGGTTGTAATGAGATGGGATCTGTTGCAGGAATTGTGTATGTTATGAATGATTTAATCCTCTCTTATACCTATTTATGCCTTTACAAATGAAGACAGATGGTCTTGACCTAAGACAGATGGTCTTGACAAAAGTCAGGTGGAATGCAGAGGTACCAAGGGAGCCTATGTGTTTTTTTATAGCGCATCACCCAGGAGAGGAATTACAGGGCAATTCACATGTTCTCAATTCTGAGGACACACCATTTGGATGTTGCCAGTTTTAATCAGATTAGCCAGTATAAAATGAATTCATGGCTTTAAAGATTCTTGTAATGATACTGCATACTAAGATAACACAGGAACATAAACAAGTGGGCTGGGAGAAAAAGAATTTGAAGTGATTGAATCTGTACTATACATGAATTAACAGCCACTGTTAATTACAACGCACAGGAGATATGAACTAGGTATAGTATTTTCATAAACTGATGGTGGTGTGTACAATGAGTCAACATTTCTCAGAGAAATATTTAGCTAAATTATAGGAGGTGACCCCCTTTTTGAAGCAATGCTGTAGACACAGGATTATTCTAGATCCATTTTGCCCTTGTTTAGTAGTGAACTCCTTATTTCAGTGGATTCATGATGCCTGAAACACACACTATATTTCAGAGTCTCCCTTTCTAGCTGATTTGGCTATGCGGCTCAATTCTACCCAATGGCATAGACATGGAAGGATCCTTAAAGGGATATGGCATTTCCTTCTTTTTTCTTTTCTCTTTCGTGCTTGGAATATAGGCCTGTATTAATTGGCTGGCATAATTACTTTGGGAAATAATTGTAAAATTCAAGAGCATAGCTTGTTGCACATTTTAAAAATCCAAGTGTATAGTCTTATAACACGAATTAATTTTTGGTTTGATGATTCAAGTAAGAATTTTGCGGACAGAAGATTTCATTTGAGAAATCCTGTATTGCTTTAAAGTGTTGTAAGAAATACCTAAGGACAAAGAGAGAAGTCAGGCATTACCCTGAGACCAGAAGCATGTCGCGTGCGGGTGGCAGCCTCCGTTATTGATGGAGCAGGCGTCTACAGCAGTGCACACTTTTCCGTCACCCTGGTACCCTGGTTGGAGAAAGCCAGGGAGTGAAAAATAACATCAAGAATATGGGAGAAAGGCAATGCCAATCTGAGGATCAGATATCATGGGGCAGACCAACCAGAGATGCTGTGTAACAAAACAAAAGATGCAAGAAAATATTGTGTCGTAAGCAAATAAAATCTATACTTGGAAGCAGGAGCAACAAGAGTTAGCAAGCTGACTTCATAAATAATGTTCTGGTTTGTTGCTAATAAGATGTATGTAAAAGTGCTGATAGAAATGGTCAACGCTGATATGGACATCTCTTAATTTCCATGATTCTAATATTTTCAGGGGTATAGAAGTCCAAAATACTGTTGGTTCACAACATTAAAACTTACAAGATTTCTGTTATCTCTTAGAACTCTGTGAATTTCTTGGATACTAATTCGATTTACCTTAGAGAATAGCCATAATGACTTCTTTCCAAAGGAAAAAGGAAACTTGTTAGTGTGCATTATATGCCTGTTTTTAGAAAAACTTATATGTTAAACATAAATGTACCATATTACTAGATTATATGTGTGAACAGTAGCACAGTAGACCTGATATGAACCCAGAAAACCTTCTCAATCCTACACTATCTCAGTGGCAGTTTCACAATTTGCAATGGCTTTTTTTTTCTACTAATATTAACAGTATTCTTAATTTCTTTCTTATACTACAGTTGTACTAATGTGTCTTGAATGTCCAAGTTTCTGAACCATTTTGCACTAGTCAGTTTCTTTACTTAGATAGAAATTACATTTAAAATGGAACACCAGACTGTTTTCAAAGGTATGTTTTTGCCAATAATGAGATCAGGAAATCTGGTCAAATACCTGGTGGACAGTCCTCACAGCTAAAAGACCCAGGTGTGTTCACACATCTAACAAGTGGAGTCTTAGAACAGCCACCATTATTTATCTCACATTCATTGATGTCTTCACAAACATAACCATTTCCTTGCCAGCCTAGAAAAACAGGAAGATTTGAAAGGTTAGCTCTATAAACAAGTCAACCAAAAAAAAAAATACAAATAACTGAAACATGTAAAACACCTGCTCTATTGAAAGAAAACTGTAGATTAAAATGAGATATACTGACATACTGGCAAAAATTGTTTTAAATTCTTAGAAAAAAATTTTGGTGAAGAAGTAGGCAAAAGGGACACTTTTACATAGGTGGATACTGTATTAAT